AATATCATTGTATCTAGTCTTCAACATTGAATTTCAAAAAAAGCAGAAGCCTGACCACGACGATACAATGTAAACCAAGACTAAAATATCATGATGATATGTCTAGCGAACTAGAATTTGTTGTATACCCAACTAACCCAAGGTTAGTTTTTGCTCTTCATTTAATGATTAAATGAAAAACAATCATCAAAATGAGTACAAAATACCCGTGGGTGTATGATACACCCGGGTGTGTATAACAATCTCTCCTAGTGAACGAGCAGCTCCTACACTAGTATATTATCTTGATAAGTGATACGCTATTGCAGAAGCCCCTATTTGCAAATCAGCTACAACAACCAGAAAACAATCTAAACAAGAGGGTTTGACTCTTGAGTGTTTCGTGTTTTTGTCGTCAACATAATCAAAGGGGATACATTGCAAATGAATTGAAGTCGGGAAAACTTACCCGGCAAATTAAACTAACCAGTTTGGAATATATAATTATAAACCAAGAAAAATGATGTGATACACAATAATGATAATGATCCTGATTGAATCAACTACACGAGGCGACAAAAAGGAAGACTCAATAATCAATATACATTACGATAAGTCGATAAACAATTTATACTAGGGTTTAATCACATGTATACAAAAAATTCAAGAAAATGTTAATTGAATCGCAAATTGAGAATTACAAAATTAACTGAAAGGCATTATAAACTGAATGATGAATTTAGAAATAGAATGAATAGTTTGAGAATTAAAAGGAGAGTGAATTAAATAAATGAACCTGAGAGATGAAGAGACAACAATGGTGGAGCTTCAAGGTTGAGATATGAATATGATTGTAGGTAAACTTCAATGGTGATCTTCTGGATTTGATAGAGATAAAAAGAGGAATTTGTTGGGCGTAATTTGGATATCATATCTCACAAAGTATTTGCAATTTAGGCTTTGTGACTAGAGTAGGTTTTTTTTTTTATTTTTATTTTATTTTATTTATTTTATTTTTATTATTATTATTATTTTTACAAAATTGAGTGGATTTGTTGCTACTTGAGTAAATACTTTATGTAATTGAGAAACTTTGAAGACGGGATAAATGAAGGGACAATGATACACATGCATTCATTGTAGTATGTGGACCTTACATACAATACCAATGAGAGGCTGCCACATCAGCAAAAGCCAAAAAAAAAAGGAAAATAAAGGGGAAAACTTTCACCCTTAATGGCGCCTAAGGAGCTATGTAAGCGGGAAAATGGCTGGCGAAAATCTTGGCGCCTAATAGCATTAAATGCACAAATTTATTTGTTTTTTTTTTTCTGAAATTTTAATTAATTTATCAATGATATTATACCGGTGAAGATTAAAAGGACACCATAGAAGATAAACAGCACGCTGGAGAAGATGACAGAATCCATCACTGAGGGTTACTCCGATGAAGTAATTAGAATTTTCAATTCAAGACCATGTTCACTGGTCAAACAAATTCGATTTTATGTTAAACAATCCACCATGATCGATTTATTTATAACATTTCTTTAATTTAATTAAATCAATTTTACTGCACTTATCTCGTTTTTCCAGATTCAACAATTGACGGTGAACGATTAATTAAATTTCAGTATATGATATCTTTTTAGATAATGTCATTCATTTCTTGTATTAAGATTTCCATGAATTTCCAAACTGGATTCTAAACTTGAACGGGTAATTAATTTTCAGTCCTTGCAACTTTATATATATATATATATATATATATATATATATATATATATATATATATATATATATATATATATAACTATATATATATATAGTAACAATAACAATTGTTTAAGTAAAATCATTTAGTTCCATTAATCATGTACAAATTAAATTGTGTAAGATACTAATCAATTACTAATTAAATCAGTAAAAATATCCTATACCAGCCTTTATTATGAAAAAAAAATTAACTATTTATATTAGCGTAAACTAAGTATAAGTAAAATAATTAACTATTTATATATTAGCAATTTGCAGACAAACCCTGAAACCCCGAATACAAATGAACTTGTTAGATTATGTTATAATTACATAAATTAAAACTAATAAAACTGTTGTTGTTACTAAATAATCATGTCAAAAAGAAAATAATCTTAAACAACAACTATAATCGACATAGATATCCTTCAATATATAATAAAAATTATTAAAATAATAATAGTTATCCTTCCATATATGATAATAATAATAATTATTATTATTATAATATTAGAAGGTTACATAATTTGTATTTATAATTTTGGTAGAGAATAAAATATTAGAGTATACCACTGTAACTGAAATTGTCAATTGAATTATATAAATGATATCTTTTAAAAAATAAACTATTCAATCCCATTTATTTACAATACTAAGGGGATGTTCTCCGCAACGTATTTTAAATTTAGTTTAGTTCAATTCGGTTCCTAATTTACTTATCTCATAAAATAGTTCAGTTCAGTTTAATAAATCAGAACATATCCTTACAAAAATTCTATTCATTAACTGCATATGTATTTCGTATGCGACTTCCCAGGCAGGTGATAGTTATATAGTAACAGTAACAATTGTTTTAGAAAATCATATCATTTTATTGACCGTGTAAAAATTAAAACATCTTAGATACAACCTTTGTATTATTTATTTCATATTTAATTGCTAATTCATTTAGTAAATTTACCTATCCTGACCTGTATTATATACAAATTAACCACTAGTTTTCTAAACTTTAGTACATATGAATGAGAGGAAGAAGGAAGGGGGAGAAGTGAAAGGGGAGGGAGAAAGTAAGGTTACATTTTTTTCCTCTAAATCTTTCCAACATTGAAAGAATTTAGTTTATTAAAGAGGGAGGGGAAAATGAATCATTCAATTTTCCTTTTCTTCCCTTCTATCAAAACTCAACAGGTATCTAAAGAAAGGAGGATAATTCCTTCTGTTTTCTTCGCTTTCTTTTCTTCTATTCTCTCAATCCAAATAATGTGTTAGTGTCAAAACCCATGTTCATCGGACTCGGCTGAAATCCCGAAACGTCTGACACGGACACGGAATTTGTGTCAGATTTGGCTATTTGCACTCGGACACTTCAGAGCAGGGGATCTGTGTGAAATTTTCTTCGACTCCATTGAAACCAGAGAGTGAAAAGTAAAGAGGGGGAGGAGAGAGAGAAAGGAAGGAAGAGGAAATGAGTGGGGCTGTCAGAAGGGGGAGGGGGTAGGGTAATGGGTATAGGACAGATGTCATTTTTAATACCACTTGTTTTGCTTATGAATTTTTTACTACTAACTTTAACCAAAATTACTTTTTTGTGTTACATTACCCAATATTTACAGCAGTAAACAATTCATTTTAGAGAAAATACTAGAATAATTATAACAAGAAATAGTAATCATATAATTTTTATTACAAGAATATGATATAAAAATTTAATTTTTAAAACTTATGAGTATTAAAATATTTTGTAATGTATAATTTTTTGGAAAAATTATAAAATAACACCCAAAAATTGTCACGATTTTGATAATAACACCACTAAAAAAAGTTTTTATTATAACACCACAAAAAAAAACCCAAAAGTTTGGTTTCACCACCACTTAACTTTGTCATCCAAAAAAATCGTTAAGTGGGCCCCACACAACACGTGTCAATCAACTATTGAATAAAAAAATCAAAAAAGAAAAAAAAAAAAGAAAAACCCTATAATCCTAACCCAGCCACCATTACCACCACCGGCGCCGGTTTCCACCGCCGTTAACTCGACCCTACCACGGTCGGCACCCCAACCCACCCCCCATCGCTGACTTCCAGACGTTGCCGAACCACCCAAACTCCAACCCAAACCAGCCAGCCCCCATCATCGTCTCCTCGACCCAAATCCATCGCCAAACCACCCAAATCCAACCCTAACTAGCCCAGCCACCGTACTCCTCTACCAAACCCAACCAAAAATCGTCGCCGAAACCCCGACCCTCCCATACCCAAACCCACTAATCGCCCTACCCTCTCACCCTCACCTTGAACCAAATCGGGGCTGGTTATTTCGTGGGTACATTTGGGCTGATTTCGACAGTCAAGGTTGGTCGGTAGGTTGGTTTTGTGGGTCGAGGGTGGTCGGTTGGGATTGGGTGACGGCGGTGGAGGCTGGGTGGCGGTAGAAAACGACGGCGCCGATGGTGGCTGGGTATTTTAAGGGTTTTCCTTTTTTTTTTTAATTTTTTTAATTTATTTATTTTAATCGAATGCATAATTGACATGTGTACAATGTGGGGCCCATTAACGGGTTTTTAGATGAAAAAGTTAAGTGGTGGTGAAATCAAAATTTTTGGTTTTTTGGTGGTGTTATAATCTAAGTTTATTTATTTTTTTTTATTATTTTTTTTATGGTGTTATAATCAAAATCGTGATAATTTTGTAGTGTTATTTTCTAATTTTTCCTATTTTTTTTTTGCAAAAAATAAAAGTGTCGTGTCATCGCACCCGTGTCCAGATATAGGACAGAGTATCCGTGTCCTAAATTTTTTGAAATTGACGAATCGGACACTTGAACACGTGTCCGTGTCTGACACACGTACCTGTGTCCATGTAACATAGGTTAAAACTCTTCTACAAATCCTCAAGCATTTAATGTCATCTCAACAAGGGGGCACAATAGAAGTTAAAGATTACATATTTCCCTAATTCAACTACATTACATTTCAACTTGTGGTGCAGCATAGATTTGATGTTTACAAAAAGAAACAACCTACCTCAAATGCTACTTCAATGGAGGATTAAAATAACATAAGGCGCCTCAAGCGGGAGAAAGAGAGAGAGGAGAACATATAGATTTACGTATTTTTGGCAAGTATTTTCAACCCAAAGTTCGGCCCAACCTGACTTAAAAGACTGAATTTTAACATTCTACTTTGACCTGAACCCGGCCCGACCCAGCCTTTGATCACCTCAGTAGTGATCACAACAAGTTAAACCATAATTTAATTCTTTTAAATCGTGCATTGGTCATAAAATCGACCACCCTTCTGCAGTGCCACCAACTGCTCACTACTTGCGTAAGTCCTCTCCGAGGTCTGGCTTAGTCAGGGAAAGGAAACGCTCTCAGCAAACTCCTTTTATATGGTGTAGGTCTTATGATCAGTTACCCTTCTTTGGGTACGCAGGTTCATCTTGGTCACAAAAACGTCGAAAAATCAAGAACTTGAATTTGTATGGTAAAGGTGGCTACTCTTTTTTCCCATCTCTACACCCCCAAGTTCTGCCTACGGAAAAGTGCTTTTCTGATATTTCTGTGGCAGCAGACTTGGGGTTCCATGGTGCTTCTTCAAATGGTTTTTTTAATGCTGAATTTAACAAAGCAAATATGCCTCATTCTTACAGTAAAAGAAAGCGTACAGGGTGTCCTCGACACTTAAATACCAAAAGCGGGCTGCTTTGGATGCTTCTCCTGTTATGGGTTCTAGCTTTAATGGCATTGTGCGTTCTGCAAGTTCAGCTTCTGGTTTCTCAGGCAACCTTGGTGTGGCGGCTGGCCCTTCACAGTCCCCCAAGGTTTTATGAAGATTACGACTTGGAATTGTCGGGGACTAAATGACCAAACCTCTACTTAGCTTCCCTATGTTTTGTGGTTATTACACTCTTTTGCTCCTAACTTTCTTTTTCTTTGTGAAACTAAAGTTTCCGTTTCTGTAGTGACTAGCTTTCTTAGTACTTCTAGTCCTACTTCGGTTTTTAGGGTAGATTCGGTTGGTACTAGTGGTGGTTTAGCGGTTTTTGGTTATGGTTCGGATGATGTTTCTTGTGTTTTTTGTTGTTCCAATGTTGTACTCTGTAATATAAAACTTACTAATGGAAATAGTAAATGTGTGATGTTTGTTTATGGTGCTCATGTTCTCGAAGATAGACCTCAAGTCTGGGGTTTGATTTTAGATTTACTTGCTTTTGCTCCTAATTGTTTGATTATTGGAGATATAAATCAAATAGAGCATCACTATGATAGGTTTGGAGGGTCTAATATTATTAAGGGGTGGGATTCCTTTGTTGATTTTAGGATGAAATCGAGTTTACTTGCTATCCCCTTTAAAGGTCCTCCGTATACGTGGACGAATAATAGGGACGACGATCAACTTATTTTACAGCGTCTGGACCGGGCGTACATGACTTATGATTGGTTTCATAATTATCCAGAGAGTCGGTTACTCAATCAACCGATTATGATCTCTGATAATGCTGCTATTTTCTTTGACGATTCTATGTTTATCCAAGTTTCTAACCGTCCTTACCAACTGGACAACTGGTGTTTGGGTTATCAGGACATACATGACTTTGTCCTTACTACTTGGGAAAGGAATGTCCCAGGCTCGCCTATGTTCATTCTCTCTAAGAAGCTGCAACACGTCAAGTCTCTCATTAATTAGGAGATGGTGTCTTCATAATAAAAAGTTTTGGGGCATAGATTGGAAATTTTTTTCGAAGGATCTAGCTACGGAGGGAGAACTAGTCAAGTCACTGTCTGATGCCTCT